ATGTACGTATTTAAAACCTCACAGCTACCTATGTAAAATTTGCGAAGAGTTCAATAATCTAAAAATTAAATTATTAAAAAAAAACACCAACGTATATTGATTGTGGAAGTATTACAATATTATAATTAGTATCCCGTATTCCACACTGTATAGTAGTCATTTTTGGTGGTTTTTATTTAAAAGACTTCGATCGAAAGTACACGTTCGTGTAGACTTGTGTTCGTCGTTTTATTGTCTTCCATCTAATCTCAACAGTCAATAATAATAATACTGTGCCATGACTCTCATTACACAATTCGTATTTACATACGGCTTACGCAGTCGTGTGTTCAAATTTCAAGGGAATAAAATCGCATGATTTTCAGTCTTTGATAGAGGTTTTTCACGGCACCGGGGCAATGATATCCTGATGAATTGTGGGCGGGCACGAGATATATATATACGTTTGAACCTACTGCAACATGGAAATATATTTTTCTCTCAATACTCGTGGTTATAACGATTCCTATTCCGCGTACTTTGGTTATTCGTTTAGCGGCACACACGAAATATTATAATCAGGGTTCGCATGTTTATGCGTTTAAAATAACTGTAATATGTATGCATTTATGCACTAAAAAATTACCAAATATGCAAACAAAATGCGCACAAAAAAACATAAATAAAACATATGCAGAGTAAAATTTATTTTAATTTTAATATTAAAAATGAAAAATAAATTATAATTTATAAGTATGTATTTAATTTGTATAAGTTGATAGTTTTATGTTTTATATATTTTTAAAATTAAGTAAACTTTAATTTACAATATGGCCATTATATGGTGATACAATGGCTTTTTTTAATTTGATCAAACTTGGATCAGAAAATATTTGAACTAACTTATAAGACCATAGAATGTGCAAAAATATACAAAATAAAAATAGTATTATTTTATTCAGTAGAACATGAATCGTATTTGTATCAAGTGCAAATGAAATTGGATCAATAGAAAAACATTTGCAATTTCATAAACACCTGAACCCTAATTATAGCACACGAAATGTATACCAATTAATGTATTTCGAACTACGCTGTATAATGCATATTGTGTTTTACTACACTGATTATTGTGGCTAATTGCGCCTATCCTATATAGTCGAGGTGTACCGACTGCTTCGCTTTTAATTAGAACTGGATGAGGGTCTACATAAATGTTCACATGTGAATAATACAGAATTGGTGAGGGTGAGAGTGGTTACTTTTTACGTTTTGGTACACCTTTATTATTAAGGGCAGCCATTTAGACTGCGGTCAGCAATCACGATTCGTGTATATCGTACATGGTACGTAGGTCATTATAAGAAAACACAAGAGTACATGGTTTGTGTTTATCACACTATAATATATTTCTCAATGAGAATAAGACGGTCAATTAATTACGTTTCCCTATGTACGGGTGTGTAGGTATTGCCCAAAAAAAAAATCACATTTATGTACGTAGTCCGTACAAATGCGAATCTTGTGTAGCCACTTCCTAGCTGAAAATAATATTTTGGGGGTGGATTTTAAGTATAAATGTGTTTTTCGACCTGCACATTTTAAAATTTCAAATGTATTAGGCATTTAAAATTATTTAATGTGTTTTAAGAAAAAAATGTAAAGGAATCTGAACCGTAATCTCACTTCCACTGGCTACGGCTTTGTTTTAGATGATACGAATATATGTGCATGCGTGTATTTTATACTGTTGTAGGGCACCCGTGTTATTTGCATAACCGCGTTTGCGATTCCTATATTAATTACATATTACGAAAACGCTTCGAGGCACGCGTTTGATTTCTAACATATTGAAATTCCCGTCGACTACATACTCAAACCGCATGTGCAAGTATGTAATTCCGGACATTCTTGTACTTAACGTAATGTATATGTACAATAAATAAATGTATACATTAAAATTGTAATACAATTCTGCGCGCTTTGATATTGAGGCTTGTTATTGAAATATTCGTACTTTTATGGCATTGATGTTGTAATTGGAATTCTAATACATAATTTTAACATAATTCTGATGGGCACCTATTTAAGATACCGAAACAATATAGGTACCGCACTCGTATGTACATTTCAATATACGTGGCAATCCGTTGGTGACGGAAGTGTGTTTACTGCTCCAACTGACTATAACCAGTGTTTGGATTAATCAGTAATTTTTTATCGAGATAAAGATATAGATGAAGCAACTCAAACGTATCTAGATAGAGATAAAAGGTAACTTTTTTTTAATCATTGAAAACCTACAATATATCTATTATTTTATCACTGTTTTATTTGCTTTTACACTAAAGTACCATAACAAAACAGTATATGCTAAATTGCTCAAAAACAAATTAAATATTTCATATATATTTTTAGTATATAAGTATATATCAGGGGTCGGCGGATCGCGGAAGGCAATACTCTGGACCCTGTAAACTTCTATTTACATACTCCTAATATTGTAAATTTAATATAAATTTATTGTAATAACCAATTCATTATTTTTATTTTTATACTGCTATTTTTAAAATATAACGATTTGAAAAAGATTTTTTTCACTGGACCTCATTGATTTATTATTTTAATATTTAGAACTCCAATGTAAATTACTTGCCGACTCTCGATAAATACTAAAAATGTAATATTTAATACGTTATAATAACAGAAATTATCATTTAGAATTTTAATCACAATTAAAAATAATTAAAAATATAAATTAAATATTTAAAATTGGAAAACTATTTGCACAATAATAAACATTCACTTAAAATTATAAAATGTTATCTGATTATCGTTGTGTTCTATTACATTTTTAAATTAAAGAACTTTTTAGTTAGACACCAGTTTAGTCGTAAAACTAGGGATCTGCATGGTCCGATCTAGTACGGTCGTAACATACAAAATTTATTGAATCGTCGGTTTGGTCCGGTTTAATAATTTTTGGGAGTATTTCGGTCCAGTCCTCAGATTAAATGTTTTTTTTTTCAGTCCGGTCCCAATCATGGTACTTAAAATCTGAATACAGATATTGTTACGTAAATAAATAAAATGAAAAAACCTACAACTTTAGGTATATATTTATTTATAAAGTCGGGTAGTTTGGTCTAGTGTAATACTAAACGCATCATATGATACGGTCTGGGCTAATACAAACTGAACCTTACGGACAGATCCATAAATTGTTAACATAAAATGTTTTAAGATCGGACTGATAGTCCGATCCACGGTCTATTTTATTAAATGTTATTTAATTACTGGTCCGGTCCGGTTTAAAAATAATATAAAGCCGTCGATTCGGTTGAACGTTAGTCTTTGATTAACGTTTAACTGTGGTCCGGTGTAACTTCGGTCCCCTGGTAAAATTTGAAGTTCGGTCTGGTCCTTAAAATATCGGACCATGCAGAGCACTACGTGAAACACCTACTAAATGTGAAATGTTTTACATATATGCACGTATTTGTTTCGTTTTTTGTACGAGTGAAATAATAAAATTGATTAACTTATAATTAATATTTTAAGAATATTAATATTTTTATTGTTATACAATTGTTATACAATCACTATGATCTTAATGTTTTCTCGGTTGAGTATCAACTGCAGTTAATTATCGTTATTGTTCACTAGACATGTTACAAAAACCATGTTGTTGTGTTTCAGTGCTCGATAATGTTCGCGACTGTATCCGTCTTCGATATTTGTTATAAAAACAGAGCATTTTCGTAAACACTAATGCTCGCCTGCACTATAGCCAATGACGGTTTCAAATAAGGTTCAGATCTTCCTCTCGCGGCACACGGTCCATTAACGGGTGTATTGAAGTACTTCAATACTCGCCATGCGACCATATTCTTTTCGTCCATTACCGTATTGCTAATTGAACAGTTAAGGCGAGTGGTCCATCTCGAAAACGAGCATAGTCCCCCGGGTCCACTCCGTTGAAAAACGTAATACCTACTGCAAAACCGCCACTGATTCGGTGTATCGAGGTTAACAGTGAACTGTCTGAACTCACTGATTGACTTGGGTTAGATTATAGTTGAATTTCTTTTGACGTTCACGCGATAAAATTGTTTGCGAGCTCAATTATTTTGTCGACGCCGAAGTGCCCACCGTAAGGCATATACAAACACCATAAAAGTATATAATATGATATCGTATAAACAGTGTAAACAATGTGTATTGGCAAACTAATGAAAAATATATATAATTATGTGTCAAAATCCGTTTGAAATATAATTTAAAAAATTACAATTGTTTTAAAACTATGTATACTTTTAATGAGATTTAGTACAATGTAAAAAAAAATATATATATGTATATATATATATATATATATATATATATATATATATATATATATATATACGTTATTTATGTTATAATAAATGTACACATTAATTCTAAATAAAAAAACGATTACACGAAAAACGATTGACCGCGTATATGTTACGTATTATAATTCTTATTTTTAAAAAACAATTCTTTCGAAAATTGCTATAATAGTATCTATAATATAATGTACTATTTTACGTTTGAAACTAAAATATTCATAAATATAATTCAATACTCTATACTTAAAAATAATTTTAAATAATTAAATCACTTGAAATGTATAATCGTGTAATACTCGTTATTGTTAATAATAATAAAGTTACAAATGTTAATTAATATGCACGTTTACGAATAATTCCTAAAACATACGCGCACACGCACACGCACACACACACACACACACACACATATACATACATGCACTTACACAGTCATAAATAAATGTACACCTAAAAATATACGATCTTAACGTTTTAAATAAATTATGTACAAAAATTCGTCACGCGGGGAAGAAAGGGTCGGGGAATAAAAAAAAATTATAGTTATTGTTCTCGGACCGTAGACACCGGTATGTGGTAGGCGTTGCGGGTGCACTGTTCTCCGGTCCATCGCGATTATATTGTGCACCTAACACGTGCGGTCGTCCACGGGCACGAGGCACACACACAGGAACGTACAACACCGTGGCGGCCACCGTCGTCGGCCGCGGGTTTCGCGTCCGCGTTCCGCCGGCCGCGGCCGCGGACTCACGGTTCCGCGTACCGGGTCTGATCGTTCTCTATGTACACGTTGTGGCCGCTGGTGGCGTTGACCACCACCACTTTGTTGCACTCCATCGGCAACGTGATGACGGCGACCGCGCACCGGTCGCCGGTGCTGCGGCGCTGCAGGTCCGGGAACCACAGCAGCAGCTTCCTCTGGATCGCCTCGAACGACTTGTCCTTGGTCTCGGGCACGAAGAAGTACGTGAACGGCACGACGGCCAGGCACGCGGAGCCCAGCAGCCAGAAGCAGCCGGATATGTGTATGGACTCGGACACGTGCGGGTACGCCTTGACGATGCCGAACCCGAGCGCGTTGTTCCAGAACATTAGCGCGGACATGCACATGTTGCGCACGTTGGCCGGGAATATCTCCGTGTAGATGATGTACGGCACCATGCCCAGGCCCATGGAGAACGCGATCACGTGCAGCGACATGCTGAGCACGGGCAGCCAGCCGGTGGTCGCGCTGTGGTCCGTCCGCTGCGCGTCGAAGCACCACCCGATGGTGATCAGCGCCACCGCGGTGGCCGTGTACGTCAGTATCAGGAAGAACTTGCGGCCGGCCAGCTTCACCGTGAGCACCGCCAGTACGGAGCCGATCACTTGCACCACGCCCACGAACATCGTGCACATGACCGGCGACAGTGCGCTGCCGCTCTCCTGGAATATCTCCACCGTGTACATCAGTATGATGTTGATGCCGCTCAGCTGCGTGCCCGCCTGGAACACCGCGCCGATCAGCAGCGCTTTCAACGTGCCCTTTTCCAGGTAGTCGCTCCACTTGGCCGTCGTCAGCCGGTCCCCGCGGTGCGTCATCGCGTCCAACTCCTCCTCCACCTCCTTGTCGCTCTCCTTGCCTCGCAGCCACTTGAGCGCCTTCTTCGCGCCTTCCATGTCGCCCCGCTGGATCAGGAACACCGGCGATTCCGGCGCGTAGCACCACGCGATCACGAACAGCACGCTCACCGCCAGGCACGCGATGTTCAGCATGTCGTAGCCCGCGAAAATGCCGCACACGTACACGTACAGAACGCCGAAATTGTACATGAGTATGAACAGCGAGCCCAGGCCGTCCTTCATGTGCGCGTCGCTGATTTCGCCCACGTACATCGGGTTGTTGATGGCCGCCCCGCTGGCGCCCAGTCCGCCCAAGAACCGGGACACCATCAGCGCCGTCTCTGTTTTGACGCCCAACAGGATCACCCAGCTGATCAGGTACGGCACCATGGTCAGGTGACCGGTAACCTTCCGGCCGAACTTGTCTGCCAATAGGCCCCAGAAGAACGTGCCCAGTATCGCGCTCAGACTGCCCCAGCTGCATGCCCACGAGATAGAGTTTTCCGTCATATAGTTCTCCAATGGGGTCCTCTCCGGGTCTTTGAGCAGGGGCGTCACCATTGCTGTCCATCCCGTGTAAATACCGAATGAAAACGAGACTAGATTCACTGGAACAATAATAATATACACATTATAATCGCGTAATTTATCAGTATTAACGCTGTTAAATACAATTTCCTGTTTGTCGTAAACGATCAATTGATGACACCGGAAAAAGTGGGCCAGACATTCTTAAACATATAACACATATACATGTATAAATTCATACACACACACACACACATACACTTATTCAGACACTCATATTGTAATGGTATAAATTATGTTCACCTACCTAGACGAAAATGTAAAATTAGTAACGAAACGCAATTATCTTAGCCTTTTATCGTATTTTATTTTATTTATAAATGACCGAAAGCTCAGAGTATGATAAAAATGAAAATATAAAAATATATTATAGAAAACATTTACAAGACAGACATAGGAACAAAAGTGTATCGTAATAGACTGAAGGAAAAATAATACTTTTATTTAGAAAGATTTATATGAGTTACCTGTAAGAATGAATTTATTTTATAATAAAAAGGATATCGGAAAATACATATATCGAATTTAAGATTATTCCAAGTCGAAAGATTCCATGAATTGGAAAGTAAGTGCCATAATGATTTGATATTATTTTATAATACAAATAACTGCACCTAACCCATAAACAAAGGAACATTGTCTATCCTACCATTAAGTAAATTATAAACCAATGAGATATCAAGAAATAATTTTCTAGGCTTCTTTTTTGTATAAGCAATAATGGTATAATAAATTAAAAAGCTGGTAATATTTTCACAAGTTGTGGTATATCTAAGTAACCCAAGTTTAACACAAGTTTTATTTTATAATAATAGTGACACATAAAACACATACGGAAAAAATTTCATTGTTCAATTTATGTTCGACTTTTAGTAATTAATTACATCTATTTCCAACTATAATATATCTATTGGACTCGCTAACGTATCCGTAGTATTCGTAGTGCAAGTTACGTATGTCGAGTTAATTTTTGATTCGTTTACGTCTTACAACTTATATCATGCTACAATAAAGTAGAATTATTATGCGATGATATTGATTTTTGTGCGGTTTGATTCTAACCGATTTCGATTTTCTATTTGCATAAATCCGAGTATATAAAAAAAAGTGTGTATTATTAACGGCGTGCGATAGGCAAACATTGTAACATATGTTGTTACCCTGTAGTTTTAAAATGTATGGTAAACTCAATTGTCATAATATCAGTAGTAATATTTTCATATTTTAATAACTATATAAACTATTATTTATATTTCAAGTACTATAAAAAAGTATATAAAAGTACTATAACTAATAGAATGGTTAACACTTTGTTGATAATAGTAACTTATCTTAAATTTTTCCATCTGAATTGTTCAGTTTGATAAAAATGTTGGATGGATAAAAAAAATAAAAAACAGTCATTGTCTATAATTTGTTTTATTTATAGGCAAAACTAACGAATGACGCTCCGCGTTAGAATTATAACATATTTATATAAAAAACAGAAAAGAAAAAAACGCATGCACGGAAATGAAAGTGATGCAATTTGTTTTCAGATATTTCACAGATCAAACTATCAGTAATAAAATTTATTAATTCGTAGTGCACTAAACCTTATTACATTTACTAATGATGACATAATAATGGAAGGCTTAAATTCTTGATTTTAATAAAACGTAAAGCAAAAACTTCAGTAAGTGGAATTTAGATTTTCATAGAATAAAAAAACATTATCTTTTTTTTCTTTCACGCGATAATCGAGCAATTATGTGGTTCTTATGAAAATATATATTATTATATTCGGCCATGTAATATTTTGTGTAATTTATTTTACTTATCGTAGAATAGATGAAAAACAATTTTATTTGATAATTCTGTAGGTATTAAAACTACACTAATGTTATCGTACAGTAGACAAAAAAAAAAAAAAAAAAAACACGTCATTTTAAATGTGATTAATTGTGTCTAGTTGAATATTTAAACGGTATAAAAAAATATTACTGCGCAGGTTAGGCGTAGCAGAACTGTAACGATCTAAATGAAACATTATTATTATTTTATCTCTTCCGATATTATAATATTGTGCGCTTAACGTTAGCACGTGTTGGCGAACAAAGAATTATTAGGATCTAAACCTGTACATCACGGTGAATTAAATATTTATTTATTTTCTTGTAGAGCCTCGTAGAAAATCCGTCATTCTCCCAGTGGCGTAATTTTTTTTTTTTTTTTTTACTGTTTTGCGGAAGCTGTGTTACAAGTGAAATTCCACGTTCAGTTTAATGATCATCGATAATAAAGAAAAATCTACTGCGGGATCAGTAGGTAATCGATACGCTGCGCCAACAGTTTATTTTTGTTGTACTTGACGGTTTACGGTTGATCCGGCGGATTAAAACATTTCGAAATTTTAGAACAGCGAACGTTTGGACGTGGACGCGTGGAAATCAAACGTGCAGATCTCACACGGGCGCCCCCCGGAAAACGATCACGAAACACGTCACCGCGTTCTCCGCGACCGCTCGTACGCCGCGCGACAAAGCCGTGGTTTCCTACGAATCACGCATCCGTGATTGCGCGTTTGCGTCAGTTGACGTTTAGCAGTACATCAAGACGGACGTGGTTATGCCTTACACGATTTTGGAGTATGAAGCGGATGAAGAACTATTGGTACTCGCGAATAATTTCCGCAACGGAAATCATGAGATGTTTAGTGAACGGAGCGGGGACGGTTGTTTCAGCGCTTTAATTGGCGGCAAAATAAAAAAATAAAACATACGACGAAATATCAATGACGTGTTGAAAAAAAATAAATATTTGAACGACGTGTAAAACAGTTTAATCCCTGCGCGCTGCGGCTTCGCGCAAAAGTCGCCCTCGCGGCGACCGCCGCGCGATCCGAAAATCGGGCGCGTGAACCATTAACAAACATCAATACCGTTTTTCACGGTGTCAGCTTTTGCGTGATCGCGCGATCACGGATGCGCAGCTGTGGGAAGCCACGGCTTAAGAGCGCGACCGCGAACGCGCGACGTCGTGTCGACGACGTTTAGCGCCCGGCGCGCGCGGAAAAAATCCATACCGTTGTGTTATGACGAACGTCTCTCATTGTTTTCGTTTTCCCGCACGGAATCCCGGGCTCGAACGTCGCGAAACGCGTAAACATGTACTCGGCCGCGCACGTTTCGCGCACCGCCGCGGTACGGCCCCGGTCAAAGGACGTTAATTATTCGGGATTTTTTTTTTTTTTCTTTTTTATTCTTTATAACGGCACCGTCTCTCGACCGGGTCCTCGGCGGTCGCCGAACGCGTCGTGCCGGCTCTCGAACATCGCGAACACGGTTGTGTCGGCGACTCATCCGCGCGCGTATTTGTGTACATAAATGGCAACACATTATCCGGGCGTTCGTCGACGGTGAACAGTTCGCTCTGCGACGATGCGCACCGAAGGTCCGGCGGTCGAGAACCGTGATGACCCTTCGTTTAACAGTGCCTACGGGATATTCCAGGTGTATTCGTTTGAAACGTGATCGAACGGTACGGAACGAAAAGAAACCAAGCGACAACTCTCGGTACCGGTACAAGTTCAGGCGCGCGTGTGAGCAAACACGATTAATTATAATTCGATTTTTCGTCGTTGGATTGGTTTACCAACCAGGGTTTTTTTAGACGTATTGAAATCAAAGTTAAGCGGCGCACGATGGATTAGAAATGAAAATAAAACAAACGAAACAATAACTATTGTTTGTGCGGCGTTCAGAGTTGTCAAATCCGCCGGACGGTATGTAAACCGTGCCGTGACTACCCTCCGTGTCATGCACGGTGAATTTCATTTTGACGCTTATTTTATACGAAAATACCAATTTTAATTTAACTCGAATGTACCCTCTTATTATGCTGCGCCCTTGGCAACCGTCCATTTTTTCAACCTCTAGTTACGGCGTACATTACATGCGATATGTGCACCACTGTATGCGAATCATTAAGCGTCGAAAGGACGCAGAGTTAATCGGTCGTAATATGATAATAACGGGCGAGTCCGTTTTCGACCAAAACCGCACTCTTCCCTTATCGGCCGATTCACTTTTCGACCAAAACAAAAATTTATATAATAAATTTAAAATAACAAAATAATGATTTCCAACGTTTGATTATGATGGAAACTACTATAATATATTAATGACAATTCAGGGTTTTACTCGCGTGGCGAGGTTTTAGGTTCGCATACAGAGCACAATCTCATTTGCAACAGTATCAAGGTTTATATAAAAACTAGGTTAGGCTTAGACTATAATTCCCCTTGGGCGAAGCTCCATCCTCTCGAAAAGTGTCACGCAGTGGCACTCGAGCTTGCGAGTAGATCCGGCGGCGTAACGAGCGAATTCCTAAAATTTTTAAGATTAAAGTTCCGATTTTTTAAATTTATTATATAAATTTTTGTTTTGGTCGAAAAGTGAATCGGCCGAAATGGGAAGGGCACGTTTTTGGTCGAAAACGGCCATTCCCATAATAATGAATATCAGACGCGATATAATCCGATCAATGTTATGTTGAACGATACCGATACGGTGAACTATATAATATTATGCTAACAAACATGTTTTGTTATTTTTTTATTATTATTATTATTACCGCGTTTAAATGTGTTTGCGATGATACGATGGTATTTCAATCATCGTGTACCTATCTTACTAAATACGTTTAGACAAGTTACATATATGACACTGTTAACGTTTAAGGACACTACACTGGAAGCATACAAACGCTGGAAACGTACACATAATCACACAAACATTACTCGTACAGCGTTTTGAATAACATTTATTTTGAAATTTACGACGTTTAACAACGTTGTACATACCGTTGCGTGCAGTGTTCGTTGTGTAGAATATGATAAATAAAATTTCTATTTTCTTGTCCACAGGTCTCCCGGTACAGGTAATTTATACGACGCGCTCGGTTATGTGAGACGATTTTTATAAATTTTATTTTATCAAAAATGTAAATCGACTACATAATATAAATTATTGGTGTTATTTATAATGCGATATTATTCTTAGTTTCAGAGATTTTATCTAAAACCATATCTTTTTTTTCTCTTGCCATTATATTTGAAAACTTGACCTCAATATTTAACCTATATCCTATTTTTTCAGATTATAATGGGTTATATTTTATTTCTAACCTGATTACTCAGACGTACGAATTTCGTGATTTGATTCTTCTAGATTACAATTCATTTTAATAGAGAAAAAAAAATTAAATACGACCGTTGCGTTTAGTCTTAATGATTTGATTGAATAAATTTAATATATAATCTGATGAATAAAAAAATGTGTACGTGTATAATTATTCAACTCTCAACATATTGTTTAAATCATCAAAGAACAAACCCGAATGGGATTCAGAAATATTTTTTAATGATATTTACTTGAAATTTTTTATTTGATTATTTACTTAAAACATTTATTGCGTCATTTATGTTATGCTAATATAGTATATTATGTTTATTAAACGTTTGCATATTGTTTTATAAATGCATAATTAAACCAAAAATATTGTTGACCCAAACAAAGCGCTGACCCGTGCACTTATAACACTTTTTTTCCTATATCGACACACATATGCATAATTGTATAATAATAATTGATAGACAATTAATATGAGTCTCAACATTTTCCTATCATACCAACTCATTGAGTTAAAAAACTTAATTTAACAGTAAAAAAAATAAATATGACAGTAAAGTAAAAACAATAAGGTAATATCGTTTAAATTATGCAATGATTTTTAATCTTAAAGCAATTTGTGTATCAAATAGTATTCAGAAAACAACCAATTTATAATTTTTGGTGAGTTTTTACAATATTTTTAAATTTACTGGGAAATTTCCAAAATTCACCTAATCAAAGTATCAAATGTATTCAATTTCTAATAAATCAATAGATTTTTATCAAAAAGCAAAGAGACTAAATTCATTAATATTTCATTAGTTTTTTTTTTTAAATTGGTATAAAAATAATTCATAATACTTTCATAGTTAAAACATTCAGTTAAAAATTTAAGTGAACTATTAGATTATAAATTTACAGTACGATATTTGAAGTCTGATAACAAACATTTATTTTATTTTAAGCCATATATTATAATTTGAACTTAATGATCTTGAGATGTTATATGAGTAGATGCTGCTTAACAAATTTTAAAATAAGCTATAATATTACTCTTTAACATACTTATAATACCATTTAGAACAGTAAAAACAAAATAAAATAAAGTAATTCAAGTTAAATACCGAAATATTAAGTTTAACTGAATACTTATTATAAATACATTTTAAAGCATTTTTAAATTATTTAAACATCGTTGAATTCAACTATATAATATACATTAGTTACCTACATAAATTAATTTATATTACTAATAACAAAACAGGATTTTAAAAGGCTTATTTTTTTTTTTTTTTTTGGTTAAATGAAATATAATTTACTTCAATATTTATCTTATGTAAGGACTAACCTGTTATTGTTGCAAATAACTGTCGGTAGTAGGCTGGTTGAAAGTTAAATCCCATTATATTCGTATGCATTTTAAAATAAACGTTTATTCTGAAGATTATTATTTATTATTACGAAACGCAAATTATAATTATGTAATTAAATTAGAAAAATAAAAAAATTAAAAACTAAAAAAAATTAAAATGTTTTTGTGTGTAAAAGTTTAAGTTTTAAACTTAAATCACACTGTTGCTCCGATTTTTTTTCAAGGGAGACTGCGTGCTGCAGCTCTCGAAGCAGACTAATACTACGTAACTTAGAGTCGTTATGGTGTGGACGCCAAAATTATTGTAATATACTCGGTCTATTTAATCGCATTATGTTATGCGTATCCAATAATAACATTTATAATCATACATCATTAAATAAAATCTCTTTGGATGATGCCTACGGCGAGTTCTCATTGGCTATTGATATAAAAAAAATTATATTACATTTTTCTCGTAGTGTTAGACTAATTTTAAACTTTTTATTAAAATATAATGATTGATTTTCACAATATTTTACAAGTATGTTTAATTTATTTAATGAAATACGTTTTTATCATTGAAAATAAAAATTAATTTAACCTTTTTTTATTATGAAAAAGTAAGCTCTATAGAAAGTTCATTGCATATAAATATTAATTAATTTATAAACATTTTTCAAACCAATTTTACTGTAAATAAAATATTTATATAGCTATATATTATTCAGATATTTCAGATATTGTATAATTTAATTGAAAATGGTTCCAGAGTAAAGAATTTTGTACAAATACAAACTATCAAAATTAATCAATATTTAGATAAATTAGCTGTAATGTATTAAATTGGATTTATAAAAACGTTAACTATGACTTTTTAACTTGTTTTTGTCATTTTATAGGACTTATATTCGATTAAGATATATATATTATATATTTTATATATTATGTTATAAGAATTAAAAAAAATGAACATAATTATTTTTTCTATTAGGTTATTACTGTTCATAAAATACATCAAAAGTCCTTTTTTAAAAGTAATACTTATATTACAGAAACACATAAATAGTCATTAAAGTAGAATTTATTTATTTATAATTCGAAAATACATTTATAAATTTTAAACCAATACGAAGATATTATGTTATGTTTCTTTCGTATTTTAAAATGTTATTCTTGAATATTGCTAATTTAAAATATAAAGTTTAAAGCACCTGTAGTACAACACTGGTAAATATAATTCATGAGTATTTTAGTTTACATAATGGAATTAAAAAAACTGAGCGCATTTATATTAGCTGATTGTATTAAATCACAACTATACCTAATCGTACTTTGACATTCTTATTTATTGGATCTCGTTTCCTAAAAACGTAGCTATTACATTATTGTTAGTTTTCGAAAAAGTAAACTATGCGTTCTATAAATAAATTATAAACTTATTCTACTCTCTTTATTTTTAAAACAGATATGTAAAACTAAAATTAATGTATTAACAATGAATAATATAATGACAACATGGTATACGAATAATAATATGACATTCCAATTGATTTAATTATTTTTCTTAAGTATTGACCTAAATGTCCATTTTCTAAGTAATTAATGGATTTTATTGTAATATAATAATCAAAACTTTTTTAGAAATATATTTTGAGTATTACAATATCAATAAACTATTACAAAATTATGAACAATCATGCAATGTTTATTTATTGAAACAAAGCAAAACGATACAACATTGCAAAGAGTGCAATATGAATTACCTAATGATTTATATTTTAATTATATTTTTTTTTTTTACGCCATGACAGGCGTTAATTTAAGTAATTATATTATTATATTTATATATTATAATTATATTTTAATTATTAATATAATTAATAATTTTTTTAAATTAACAATTTCTATCAAATGTTCAACTTTATCAATAGCAACGTCAGTTTTGATTAAACTAATTGCTATCGATATTTAATTATTAAAAAGACCATTTTAAAATAATACGTTAAAATATTACGTTTATTGTAGTTTTTAAACTTTATATATTGCTTGGAATTTAAATCTTTTGCAAAATGTTATATTAAGAAATAATTTTACCATTTGTATTTTTTATTAAATTACATATATGTTTGACAGATAATGGTAGGATGAAAAGACACGCGTTTAAAAATTATTTAACCAATATTTAATATGCTTGATTTTTTTTACACATCTTGTCGATTACGTAGGTACGTTGCTATACCTTAGCCATATGATAATTTATGATTGTCCTCATACAATATATTCGTACAAATTTATAGACTAACGGTAAAAAAAACAGTGACAAAATATTTTACATAGTGATAAATATATATATAACGCTGTGTTATCAAGTAATGTATTCCCGAATTTATGCATTCGACAGAAAAAATTTGCCAAATTTACGAAATCGATAATCTCACGAATTCAACGTGATATTTAATATAATATAATTGTTGGCAATTAAAAGTCATTTAACTTAAATTTATCTATTTTTTAAGCAAATTTGTGAAAAAAATTAAATCGTTAAAAATAAATTCGTTAATCGTTAAAAATAAGACCTAATCAAGTACAATATTGTGTAAAATATTGATATATTGTTAAAGTATAATAATAAACATATAAATATTTTATTTTAAAATCGTTATTTCATAAAACAATAATATCAGACATAGAGCGTGACTTTAAAGAAAGATACCAAAAAGTTGAGAGGATGAGGAGACCAATGACATTAAGCGGTTATATAATAAGTGAAATGGAAAACTTTAGATATATAGGATTATTTGTACAAAAGGACGCAGGCTTTGGTTTGGATATAAAACATAGAATTAAGTGCGATTGAATGAAATAGAGAAAAGCATCGGGTTTTTTATGTGATAATAGAATTCCAATGAGACTGAAAGGTAAATTGTACAGGAATGTAGCGAGACCAACATGCTATATGGTTCAGAGTGTTGGGCGATTGACAGGAGAATAGAACATAGTATGAGATTTGCGGTAATGAGAATGCTTAGATGGACGAGTGGAGTGACAACAGAAAATAAAATAAGGAACGAATATGTAAGTGATAGTATTGGTGTAGCGTCGATAGTGGACATGATGAGAGAAAATAGACTGAGATGTGATGAAACGAGAGGAAACAAATGCAGTAAGAGTTGATATGAAAATGAACGTTGAAGGGAAAAGAGAAAAAGAAAGACAAAAAAAGAAATGGTTCAATACGATTGTGAATACTATAAGAGGTGTTGGTGTGAGCGTAAGGGATATAGAAAATCAAGACGAATGGAGGTTTAGGACTAGAATGGCTGACCTCAAATAGTTGAAAGAAAGACGAAGGAAAAGAAGAAGAATCGTATTCAATATGTATATTATTATAATTTTATTATTGTAATTAATATTTTTGTACTTAACTTCTCATACTATTAAAATCAATAATCATCTTTTTCTTATAGTAAAATTATGATTCAATCTTATAATTTTATTTTATTTGTTTTAAAATCTAATAAAATCTGAAAATAACATGTACTAAAAATTTTCAGAAGGTTATTTCATAGTGCTGCGTTGGACACTATGTCTTAGTGTATTTACATATTATTTTTCATTGGTATTAAATTTAAATACAGTGAAACCTATATTTATGGACACCTCTCAATAGTGGACCCTTCCCAATAGTGGATACTTCTAAGTTCCCCGGTAAAAATGTATGCACATAATAAGAGTTATAACCTCTTAATAGTGGACACTCCTAATAGTGGACGTGGACACAATAAGCTGGTACCAAATAAAAAATTACCTCTCATTAATGGACACAATACATACATATATCGAAAACGTTTAAGAAATAAAAATACCATATTAAATATGGATAAATTTTATCTTTTATACGTTCGTCCATATTTCATCTTATCTAATTGTTTTCATATTCGAAAAATGACTAAAGGTTCGGTTATGTGTTCGGTCGTTAGTTGTGTACATTGTGTGAACACGTATCTGCGTTAAAATAAATAATAATAAAAGAAAAAGATTGAACTTAGAAGAAAAAATAAATATTATTAAAACTAAAGAAACGGAAAGTCTTCTTCGTGTACTAGCAAAAAGATTTTGCATAAGCAAGTCACAGGTAAATTTAAATATTTTGTTTTAATTTATCTAAAAAACATCTTATTTAATGAAAAATACAGGTGAATAACATTTTACAAGAAGCGTGTAATTTGAAAAAATATTATGCTGAAAATGGCAATGAAGATATGAGGAGAAAATTTTCGAAAACATCGGATGGAGAAATTGTAGATAAAGTAACAAATCTATAAACGTTTTAGATGCAATTTTTTGGATAAAGTCCACATTAAAGAATATAAAACCAGAGACAGTCAAAAATTGTTTTGAAAAGTCGGGATTTTTTTCGTCCGATACAGCAGAGTATGTAATGGAACATGACAATGTTACAAATTTGAACATATTCTCAGAACTTTTACCTAGTACTGTTGAAATTAAGAACTATATTTCTATAGATAATAATATCCTTACAGAAAACAATACATTAATAATATCAAATTTAGTCAATTGTAATCTAGACAATTTGAGTGAAAAAGAAAACGAATTACCCGAAGAAGGAGAAGAACAAGAAGAAAAAGAATACGAGTCGATATACAATCCATCGTTTGAAGAAGTTTGGAAATCAATAAATCATTTAAAAACATATTTTAAAAATAAAGAAGATGAAATCGTATTATCAATGGTAGCCAATTTAAAAATTCATTGCGAAGAGCAGAAAAAATTTACACAAAAAAAGATAACAGATTTTTTTAACTGTACATAATTTACATAATTGTACATTTTTATAAGCACTTTTATACTAATTTTTTAATACATAAATAATAATATATAACAAATAATAAATTAATATTCTAATATATATTTTCATGTACAGTGTATAACCAATTCTCATAAATGTCCACTATGTAGAGGTTTTCTCAATAGTGAACAACTCCTTATAGTGGACATTTTTTAATTTCCCGTGGTTGTCCACTATATAGAGGTTTCAGTGTAAATAATTTAAAACTTAATTGATTTCTGTTTGAGTATTCTTGTTAAAAAATAGTCAATTTTATTATATAATTTAAT